TATGAACTCAACAACTAAGTAATCCATAGTAGCGGTCTATCGTATAGTAAGACTGTTTCCATATGGGTAGTTCTCTAAATTAAGGTCCCTTTTAGGGTCCTTTTTATAAGGGTGCCGTACTATATTGGGCACCTAAAAAGGAACAAACCATGCACCCCTCCTCTTGGCGGTACTTGGGAGGTTTGGGGTTTAGGGGTTAGGGTTTTGGGGGTTAGGGTTTAGGGTTTGGGGGTTTAGGGTTTAGTGTTTAGGGTTTAGGGTTTTAGGGTTAAGTGTTTAGGGTTTAGGCTTTGGGATTTTGGGATACTTGGAGGTTCATGGGCAGTTCTACGTGGGGTTACAAGTAGTAGAACTATATTTATAACCCATATTTGGGGACATATAACCCTACATATAACTAACCATGGACCCCTCCTGCAGTCAAGCAGAAAGCATCGGCTACTGGCTTTAGGACTTTTGGGTTTAGGGTTTTGGGGTTAGGGGTTTAGGGGTTTGGGGTTTAGGGTTTAGGGTTGAGGGTTTAGGGGTTTAGGGTTCAGGGGTTCAGGGGTTTAGGGGTTTAGAGATTTAGGGGTTTAGGGGTTTAGGGTTAGGGGTAGTTGCCCCACGTCGGGTTGGGTTCGTGGCTGTGGAAGTCACGCCATTCACGGTGCTCGTCGCGCTGTCCTGCACACATCCAGGGTTTTCGCATCATCGGGTCTCGGATGGAGGAGTTTAAAGTACATGTGGGGTCGAGGGTTCAATTTTCAATTTTACTGCAGTGTTTTCAGAACTGAAGTATTCATCTACAAATGAAGAACTAGATATTAGCTCAAGGGTGCTGCAATCCATCTAACTAGGTAGAAAGCATGTCCTGTCTCAAACAGTTGGCTCTACTTTGGAGAGCTTCTTTAAGATGTGACGAACAGTAGCCGACAAGACTAATGCGGCAAATCGCGTACCTTCGGCAGAGATGTGCCAGTTTATGTATTCCCGTTCTTGTGTGCCTGTGTGTTCCCTTCATTTGTCCTTAGACTTGCTCGTCAATGCCGCCTCGCAACACCCTAAGCCCCAAAGCCTAACACCCCTATCAATGAATCTGGACTTTCGAGTTTGGCAAGGCTCGCCGTGTGTCACGTACACGTAAGTAACTCGTAATGCAGCACCCTAAACCCTAAACCCTAAACCCAACAGTACAGAGTGTACAAGTCTTCTGGGTTCTTGTGAGGGAGCCCGAATAAAGCTACCATAGCAAGGAAGCCATATGATCTGCTATAGATCCCTATTATGGAAGCCTAATTAATTTACGTTCCTAAACCCTAAACCCTATTGCAGTATCTATTATTGAAGCTTAATTCAAGCTCCTAAACCCTAAACTACTATTACAGTCAGTATCAGAAATTCACTTCCTTAGAAGCATCCTAGTCTTGGGTTGCAGCTCATGTCAAGATTGACTGAGTCGACCCCGCTTCTTGAGGAGCTTAGAGGGGTAGGGTTTAGGGTTTACCTATCGTCTCCATTGTAGTTCCTTTTCTTTCTTTATTAACCAGTTAAATGTTTCGAGTCCGAGAAGGCAACTGCCAAAAGGAGCTACAATGGAGACTATAGGTAGGGTTTAGAGAATGTACAGCAGAACCCGGAAAGCAACGGACATGCTAAATGCCGACTATGCAGCATTGAAGGTGGTGGCATGTCACCACACTGAGCCGCAGCTTATGCGTCCGTCTGCTCTGCGACTCTCCGCTGTAGCCCTGCAACCTGTTCCAAACCTTGACACCTCAAACTGCTATTATTTCCTGGGCTTAGGGTTTAGGGTTGCCCTTCCTATCCCTTGCTTGCACTGCTGTCTACTGCTTCGTGTCCACGACTTACTAAAGCTGCTTTCCACCCATCTCACACACACAACTTACGCTCCAGGTCTATTGGCTCCATTTGCTGTGGCCTTTATCCCTGCAAGACTGCAGCAGTTGCTCTGACTAGCAGCATTGCTACTCTTCTGACGTGGTTGCGCTAATGTCTGCTCTCGTTGCTTCTACGACGGCTGTCTTTTCATGAATGTCAAAATCAATCCCATGGCCACGGCCATCAACTACCAGTGACCATTTAATCCCGCCATCTTGCGCATGGCAACATGTGGAAATCCCCCTTCCCAACTTATCCCTAAACCCTAAACCCTAAACCCTAATTCCAAGCAGGTCCTTAACTTTTCCGGGAAGGCTGGCCTGCAGGAAACACGGGACTCACAGAGGAATGCCAGTCTCGCTGAACGGTTTGGGGTTTAGGGTTTAGGGTTTAGGGTTTAGGGTTTTGGGTTTAGGTCTCGCTGTGCTAGCTGGTAGAAAGCATGGATGCTTGTGCGTGCAGTATCTACGGAGCCCCTTCTTCCGAGAGTGGTAGTGGAGCTCGAACTGGTAGTGGTCGCGCTAGCAGTAGTAGCGGTAGTAGTTAATTAGTAGTAGTAGTAGTCGTCGTCGTCGTCGTCGTCGTCGTCGTCGTAGTCGTAGTAGTCGTAGTAGCCGTAGTAGTCGTAGTAGTAGTATCAGAACAAGTGGCAGTGGCAGTGGCAGTGGCAGTGGCAGTGGGAGTAGCAGCAGCAGCAGCAGCAGCAGCAGCAGCAGCAGTAGCACCAGGAGAAGAAAAACACATCGCCAATCAGACTGCACGTGCGCTTGCTTTCTGAGGCTACAAGGAAGTGCCCGTGCTGGGGCGTCCACAATAGCCTGAGCCGTCTTGCTGACGCCTGTCCGGCGGCAACACATTTAGAATTCAGGGCTCAGGGCGCTGGGTTAAACTCACTGGCTAGGAACAAAGGATTAGAAGGATTAGACGCCTCAAAAAAGCAGAATTGCATTCAAAGGGAGTTCCTTCTGCGGCAGGGTCCTGATCGCAGATGCCCCCAAACCCAATTTGAAGTTGCATTTAGACCCGGGACATCCGGGACTACCTCACTCGAAAGGATCCTGTTTCTACGGGGGACTTTCATGTCCAGCCGACCGAATCCAAAGGATGTACTATGGAGGCCGTAATTAAGGACAGATGCACTGCGAGACAGCTCCCTCATGGCCGAATATAGGGGCCTGAATAATTTCAATCTGCTTTGGGGGATTTCTGCTACTATAGCCTATAGCTGCAACAGGGGACCCTGGGGAATAATACTGTAGGTAATACTGTTTAGTATGTAGGCCCGAAAGAGGTAATACTGTTTAGTATGTAGGCTCAAAAAGAATAAGGAACCCTAAAGCCACTAGAACCCCGATAGATGCCTTCTGCTATCCCCCCCTGACAGGAAACCCCTCAAGAAGCAAACCCCAAACCCTAAACCCTAAACCCTAAACCCCTCAAGGATGCACAGCTCACGACGGACCTTCTGCTGTGTTGCTCACCGCGGAAGCAGCCCTTCCCGGAAAGCTCACCACCTTCGCAGCGTCATGCTGCGTAGGGTTTATGGCTTTGGACTTTGAGTCTGGCATTTGGGGCTTTGGGATTTAGAACTTAGGCTTTTGGGTTTAAGGCTCAAGGTCTACTAAAAGGCTTTTGGTCAAGTCGGAGCACTCTTTGAGGCGGGAAATGTCTGAAAACGCAGCCAGTGCAACACATGATCTATCAGGATCCCAGGTGGAAGATGCAGGGACACCCAAAACAAGAAGGGCCTTGCAACCCTAAACCCTACTTAAAGGATCATGGGACTTAGTAAGTAGGGTTATAACTAGGGTAACTATACTTATACCCCCAATTAAGGGACTTATAACTTATAACCCTACTTACTAAGTCCCATGCTCCTTTAAGTAAACATGAGAGATTCGAGGCCTGCTCCTTTCGAGCTCAACACAGATGCTCAGAGCGAAGCATTCGTTGCGAGGTTGGAAACGCCGGTTGTAAAGTTCTCCACCTTGGCACTTAGCACAACCCGAGTCCCGGGAGCACAGTTTAGGGTTTGGGGTTGAGGGTTTACGGATAATGTAGGGGCCGAAATAATTACCAATACTATTTTGGGAGTTCCTTATTGTGTTTATAGTTTATTGGGCCCCAAAACCCTATTCTAATTATTAAGGCCCCTAGATTAGAACCCTAGTATAGATCCCTTATGGAACCCCTTAAGGATCCCTTTATGTAAAGGAACCCTATTCTAATCGTTAAGGCCTCTTTTTTTTGGTAGTTCAGGGCAAAGCCTTGGAGGCTTCTAGGTCTCAGATTGCTGCAAGGTCGGGAAGCAGACTTCTGAACAAGGTTCATGGATAGTTATAAGTGGGGCTATAAGTAGGGTAACTATAATTATAACCCGGATTAGGGGGCTTACAACCCTACTTAAAAACTACCCATGAATCTCCAAGCAGGAATCCAATCAAGCGTTTCCTCTACTAGTCTAGTTTAGGGTGCTTGTGCCAATCTAGGGTCTGGGAGGATCGAGAAAAATGTTGGGATTGGGATTTCGGGCTGAAATTGAGCTCAGGTGTGCGATGTGGTTGGCCCTTAGTTTGAGATGAGCTGAACGGCCCCTTCGTGCGTTGGCCTTAACCTGAAGATTGACTTGCATATGGCCTACAGACATACATACATACATACATACATACATACATACATACATACATACATACAAACATACATGCATACATATCTATACCAGTGCTTATATCAAGTTTGATGGGCGCTCATCGGGTTTGAGGCCTTGGGTTCAGAGTCTGCCTTTGGGCTCATGCATATGCTGCATAGATGCTAGTAGCTAGCACTGTCTAAGTATCTTCATTTTTACTCAGAAGCGAGCAGAATTCTTTCTGCAAGCGCTACCAACTGCGACCTCGAACCCTAAATCCCTAAACCCTAAATCCCTAAAACCCTAAACCCCTAAACCCTAAACCCACGAAGTCGAAGAGGACCCGACCGACTTGGCCGTCCTTGACGGCAACGCGGCCACGAACTCCGCTGTGTTCTGGCCGGTGTGTTCTCAGCTTCTGGGGCTTAGGGTTTAGGGTTTAAGGTTTAGGGTTTAGGGTTTAGGGTTTAAGGTTTAGGGTTTAGGGTTTTGGGTTAGGAGTTTATAAGGATAATGGATGTGAAGGGTTTATAGAACCCGGGAAGCTAAATTGAGGGTCACGGTTTGAGGTTTAGACGTGCAGCCTGGTTTACAGGTTCACGGCTTCGGTTTTGGCTTCTTTTGCGGCTGTTGTATGTATGTCATACTCTGCGGCATCTTGCAATGGCCTATATAGGAGCCTTAATAATTAGAATAGTGTTTTGGGGCCCATTATACTATAATTAGACTAAAGAACCCCAGAATAATATAGGTAATTATTATGGCCCCTATTCTAGGCATCCTAAACCCTAAACCCTAAACCCTAAACCCTTTGAGGATGTGGGTGGTGGCCCGCCTTGACCTTGTCGGGCACGCTGGCGATGGTCTCGGCAGTTGTGACCTTGGTTTAGGGTTTAGGGTTTAGGGTTTAGGGGTATCGTGGCAGGGCTCGAAACCCTGAACCCTGACCCTAAATCGACCGCTAGCCTGTTTCTGAGAATCCAGCGACTGCCGAGCGAGTTTTGTCCACACCTGCAAGAAGGGCTCAGGGATTAGGGTTTCGGGTTTAAGATTCAGAGGGGTTTGCTCAATTCTTCGTAGCTGTGGCTGCCGGATATTGAAATCGCTGACAGAAGATTTCGAAACAGGATAAACGTATTCAGTGCCAGAGTTGATGGAGAAGAACAAGGCTTAATCAGACTCCTCTACTCGAGCATGGGGGCCTTCAAACCCTTGTCCGTGTACTTCTACACAAAACAAGGCAACGACAGGTATGTTTAGTTGCAACCACAGTTCAGGCACTTCTGGCCCAATACCTACGCCTGAACCTCAAAGACAGGGCTTAAGGCCCTGAAGTTCCCTGTTTCACAAGGGAAAGCCTTTGTTTCCACCCTAAACCCTAAACCCTAAACCCCAAACCCTAAACCGATTCAACCGGGAATTGTGGCATTGACAACGGACTCTGCAGTAGCGGGCCTTTGCCGATCCTCTCCGGCAGCTCGACGATATTTGTTACAGTCTTCTCCACACCTGGAGGGTTTAGGGCTCAAAAGTACTTCTTATAGGGCTTATTTTAGCATTTAGGGCTTAGGCTTTTTTGGGTGTAGGGTTTGGGATGTGGGGAAGGATTGCGGCCGTGACCTTCCACAGCCAAAAGCTGCGCCTTCCACGGTGGTCTCAATGCGATTCTTGAAAGTCGAAGGGATCTGGGAGACCTTGGTCGAGTTTGGGGTTTAGGATTTTGGAATTTCCCTA